AATACTTTAGGGAATTCTGAGAATATTTCAGTATCATTTAGAAGACTTCAAAAAACTTCAAAAGATACTTCAAAAGATACTTCAAAAGATACTTCAATTTACCGAAGTGAATTAATTATGAAGTTACACTGTGAGAAAAAAAATTTAGTGTTTGCAACAAAATTGTTTGATTAGTCAATTTTGGTTCTTATAACCAAATTTTGGTTGGCTGAAACAAAGTCGTAGAGTTATCTCAACCAAACATTTGGTTATAGATCAACAAAATTATTTGGTTGAACATTTTTAAATTCCAACCAAAATTTGGTTACGACAACAAAATAATTTGGTTAACACAACAAAATAGTTTGGTCTAAAAAACCAAATGATCGTTTATTGTCCTAACGAAAATTTGGTTGCGACAACCAAATAACCAAATAATTTGATCAACCAAACATTTTTGTAATGCCAACAAAAAACACTTAACCAAATTTTTTGGTTGACTCAAACAAATAGTTTGGTTGCTTAAATACCAACAAAATTTCTTTGTTAACCCAACCAAATTTTGGTTGCTCTGACTAAACATTTTTCTCAGTGTATGAAGACGAAAATTAATTTGTATAAATTAATTTTTATATATAATAATTTTTTTATATTTTTCTGTGTCTATTTACACAGAAAATATTGAATTATTTTTTTTTAAATTGATGTATGCAAAAATTCAATATCCGTTATTGAATAAAAAAAAGAATATTCCTGAGAAATATTCACAATTTTGTTAATTTATGTCGATATGCGAAGTTTGAAACAAGATTTTATAGCTTCGCAATACCTTTGTGAATAATCAGTCAGCAACTGAGGATATTGACTCGGTGTCAGCCTAGTGTCAAATACCCTAATCGAGGGAACTGCACTTCCGCTTGAACGAAAGTACTCAACGTAATAGTCCAAGTCCAAACGACTCAATGAATCAGACTTTGACTGGTTGCATAATTTGTTTGCGGGCATTTGAAACTTACAATTAGCTCAATAAAATAAAAATAGTTCATTTTTTTCAAATTCTCGTTATCTATTTATATACAAAAATTATTTCATATTTATAAAATTCAAAAATTTTGTTTTATACTTTTGGAAAAAGTAAATAAATTTTTTCTTTTTATTAAAAAAGAGTTTATATTAACACTTTTTATTCTTAATAAAAAGTGAGAAAAAAAATTTATTTATCCAATATTTATATATGTCATTAATTTTGTTTACATATATTATCGTGAAAGTAAAAACTAAAACTATGAATTTTTCATTTTTTTTTGTGCAAAATTCTTTACTATCGAATTTGCCTCTTAAATCCCAAACATATCATAAAAACAGAACATTTCAGACTTCGAAGACCGTCATAAAATGTGAGAGCCAAAAACAAAAAAAAAATTGCCGTGACGTATAATCGATTTTTATCTGAAAAGTATATGTAACTTCTTTTTTGTACGTAGAAAAAAGGGGAAAAAAATTTTTTTATACTTCAAAAAGCCTAAAACAAAATTTTTTTTGGAATATAACAAAAATTTTTGAAATAGAACAGAAATTTTTATTTTATATTAAAAAAAGGGTAAAATTTCAATTTAATAAGCAATAATTTTCTTTTATGTTTATACTTTAATTGTACTTGTATTCAAATTCGTTAAAATTTTGTTTTAGTAGTAAAAGCCAGTTTCAGTCTGACACAGTGGGTTAAATTCATGTATTTTTTAGTGAATCGATAAAATTTTTCTGAAAAAAATATTATAATATAATAAATATATATAAAAATATAATAACAATTATTATTATTATTATAATTATAATAATAAATATTAATTATTATTACAAAAAATATTATTTAATATTGATAGAGAGATAAAATATAAGAATATATAATAAAATAGAAACGAAATAATTTTAATTAATTATTACGTAAAAAAGAAGAGTTTGAGAATGGTTTACGATTCATTATATCAATGTCTCTGTCGTTGACATTTTATTAATAAAAGGGGAGTAAAAGATTTACTTAATTTTTTCAATGATTGTTATTTATGTACTTGAATATGTAACATGTCAACGCACTGTACTTGACATAGTCTATGGTTCTCATCATATTTAAGCACATTGAAGTATCATCTTAGGTAATTTGTTATTAATTAAATTGTTATCTAAATAGAGAATAAATTGTAAATACAAAGAGAAAATTGAATCTGTCAGCTGCAAGATTCCCCTTATCTAACATAATACATTTTTTTTACACTGCGGATATTTTATATATATATATATATATTTATATATATTTATATATGTGTATATAATTTGGAATAACATTGGTAATTGCGATGGAGATCCATTAGAAGGTGTGCCATCAGTTGGACCGGAAGCAGGAAGTAATGTGGTTTTACATGTAGACTGTACACATTCACAGAGGTCTCTTTGGCGGTTTATTGATGCTTGTTGGATCAATTGTTTCGATTATTGTGCGTTCTTCATTGTTGTTGTTGATCCGTAAGTGTGTATTGCAAACCAATTATATTCCTTAATTAAATTCTGCAATGAATTTATTTTCATTTCGAATTTATTTTTTTTTAAGTTCATAATTAGTATTTTACACGCAGATAGAACAAATCTATAAAACTGAGTTTACCAATAACATAAGGCAGAATTAAAAAAAAAAAAAATACCCTAGATATAAAATATAATTAAAAAAAAAAAAAAAAATAATTTCTCCACATTCGTTACGCTGATTTTGCAAAATCGAATAAAAATTCTGACTCTTTTGTCAGTAATAATGAAATTGTCAGCAATTTTTTTTTGCATATAAAAAAAAAAATAGTGGAATTGAATGTCAATCGCAAAAAGTGTATCACTGTTAGACAATATTCTTCTTTTTCTTGCTATTCCAGCAATTTTCTTTTTCTCTATGCAATCTTTAGCATTGTTCGAACAATACAAAGGCACGATTATCTGAAAATAACAGTGTAATTGTTCTCGTGGTAATAACAATTTTTTATATTGACTATTTTTCATGACACTTTAAAATCCATTATATTGCAAAAATTGTCATTTTTATTTGAATATAAAAAATATTTAAATTTAAAAATTAAAAATTATCTTATTATTATTTTTATTATCATTTTTTATTAAAATTATCAAGCGATTGATAATGCAAAATATTCACTAGAAATATTAACTAAACAAGTTGTAAATTCAGATATTCATTACATCAACATTTTGCTTCCTCTTTACGATAAGCAAAAGAATTTTCTTCCTCGTGGACAGTAGTACCTGTACAGTAGTTCAAGTAAATATTTTGTTAGACACGTTTACAATATTGTCAGTAGTACAAGTAAATATTTAGTCAGACATTCTGGATTTGACCTTCAGATGACCTTGAATGACCTTGATTTGACCTTCAAATGACCTTGAATGACCTTGACTTGACCTTCAAATGACCTTGAATGACCTTGACTTGACCTTCAAATGACCTTGAATGACCTTGACTTGACTTTGACCTTGAGTCATACTTTTAAAACCCTTCTAAATTTTTTCAGTGGTTTAAATAAATATTTAGCCAGACATTCTAAATGTTTGAAATTTTCTCAGTAGTATCACTCAGTAGTATTACTCAGCAGTAGTACAAGTAGTAGTACAATATTGTCAGTAGTACAAGTAAATATTTAGTTGGACGGGTTTGCAATTTTGTTAGTAATACAAGTAAATATTTAGTCAGACATTTTTTATTTGACCTTCAGACGACCTTGAATGACCTTGACTTGACCTTCAAATGACCTTTAATGACCTTGACTTGACCTTGACCTTGTGCCAACACTTCTAAACTTTTTCAGTGGTTCAAATAAATATTTAGCCAGACATTCTAAACGTTTGACATTTTCTCAGTAGTATCACTCAGTAGTATTACTCAGCAGTAGTACAAGTAAATATTTTGTTAGACACGTTCTTTCTAAAAAAAAATCGAATAACATTGATTATTCTTATTCTCTTACAATTTAGATTCAATTGGTAGGTTCTTTTTAAGGTAATTTGTGTTGTTTGAAGGTAAAAAAATAATAAAGACCTGCTGTTTTGCTTAAAAAAAAATTTTTGGAAAAAAGACGATAAAATTTTTTTTTTTGGGTATTTTTTAAAATTCTTTGGTCAGATTTGAGATATTAATATGATAAATGAGCATACCAAATTTTATCTAAATCCATTAAAACCTGTTAAAGTTATCTTCTAAACAAAAAAGGAATCCACACACACATCCGGACAATTGATCAGGATCTTATATAACATGTTTCTATATAGAGAAAAATTTGTTTCTAACACTTTGAAAATTTTTAAAAACAAAAATAGTTAATTAATTACAAATTTCTATATTAAAAATTGAAAACTTTATTGTTTCTTCTTTGGGGAAAAAAATGATAAACAATATGTTATTTTTTTTATTTTTATAATGTTCTTTATTGTATAATCAATTTCGAAGTTAATTTTAGTATAGGGTACATTTTGCCTTTCTGTTAAAGGCAATGGTGCGGTCGATGCTTAACTTTCTGTTTTCCTGGTAAATTTCAGATGCGCTTGATGTTACGTATATTGTGAGAATATATATATAAACACTATATATATATATACATGTTAACCACACACACGAAATAGGCGTTCGAAATAACACCAATGTGAAGCAAATATAAACAGAAAATTTCATTACAACGAAAACAAGATAAATAGATTTTAATATTTTATCACAATTGTGAAATAAATAATGAAAATTAATTAATTTTCAATTATTGAATTTAAATCTCTTATATTATAACAAGCATATTGATAGTATTTTTGATTTCTTTTTTTACCACTAACTGTGCTTTTACTAATTTTGTCAAATTTTTTAATTAAAAGCAAATTTATAAAAAAAAATTTTAAACAAAAAAAAATGAAGAGATTTTAGTTTTTTGGATTCTTTAAAATAAATTGAGTAATAAATAATAAAAATGAATTAAGACAATATGAAACATAAAAAAATTAAATTATAATTAATTATAAATAAAATTTTTAAGTTATACACTTCAGTGATAGATAATATTTCTTTGTTCATATTCCTCATGAGCAATTGTATCAGCTTGTGAAAATTTTGAAACTGAAACAGTTGTTTGAGGATCATAATTCAAAATGTCCGGTACTTTAATCTGAAAATTTGTTTAAAAAATATTGTAACAAATTACTTTTATGCATGTAAATGTTTAAAAAATGTATCTTACATTTGTATTACTTTTTAACCAATGAGCATATCGATTAGTAATTTCTAAATGTTTAATTCCATGCCAAATAACTTCCATTTTTTCAAGATCATGAGATATATTTTTACGTGAAAACCATTTGTCATTTACTTGATTTCTAGGTGGAATGAAACGTAATTTTTTCGGTAAAGCTGTGCCAAATGCATATGTTTTTTTTGCTTTATTTTCAATAATTCTATCATGAATCAATTGTTTACGAGTCATTTCAAGTTCAATGGCATTTGCCGAGTTTCTTATTAAAGCAACTGGTTTTGGTACCGTTGGCATTTCCTTTACAAGTACCTGATGTGATTTAAAATTTAAATTATTCTGTTCCGATTTTTTTTTAACTATTGATAAAATTATTCATTCAATTATTATTAATAATTATTAATAATTAATTATTTATTATTATTAATTATTAATTCTTATTAGTTATTATTAACTATTATTAATTATTACTAATTACTCGACTAATTATTATTAATTATTACTTATTATTATTAGTTATTATTAATTGTTACTAATTGTTACTAATTATTACTAATTAAATTAATATTAATGAAATTAAATGAAGCAATTATAACCTTTGTGGATTTACATGCGTCGGCGGTGAAAATTATTTGAAACATGTCTTTAAGAACTTCTTCATTGATACGTTCTAAAGGACCACTTAATTCACGTAGCCATTCGCAAAAATCGTGACAAATTTTGTCAGTGATTTTAGTAGCCCTATTATGTAATGAAGCGTCTGGATTGTAACCTTTTAAATCCTCCTTTTTCAAGGGACGCCATATTACAGCCTAGAAAAATTTATCATTTATATTTTTACAGCAAAAAAAAAAAAAAAAATTGATCTTAAAATATAAAAATTTTTTTTGATACCTTTCGTCGCGGTTTTTTTAAAAAACGGGCATATGGATTTAAATCGTTTACTTTACGATTATCAGGTGACGATTGATTTTCGGACGGTGGATGTACCTAAAATTGATTATTTATTAATTTAATTTAGCTTTTGTGTAATTAATATACAATTCTAGTTTTCTCAGTAGTCAATGTCAAGTTTAGTCAGACATAGTTTTAATTCTTCTATTTTTAGTATTATTATTTTTAGCATTGGTAGTGCCTCTGATAAGAAATTTTTTTTAAATGTTTAGTTATTAGCTTTGAATATTCGTATAACTTTATCTCAATAGTAAAAGTCAATTTCAGTCAGACGTTATGGTATTATTTCTCAAAATGCTACTTTTGAAATTAGTAGTATAATACATTTTCAGTCAGACAGTTTTAATTTTTCTCATATTTTTTCAATAATTTGAGGTGAAATTAAAAAAAAAATAATAATAATTTGCTTACAATTAAATCAGTTGACAAATCACTGGTACTTTTTTCATTGTTCACAATAATATTATTATCCTTTGAAACGTCAATTTCAGTTTCCGTAACATTTTTCGGATACCAAACAGGCATATTGAGAATTGTAGCCACTTTATTATATAATTTAAGTGGTAGAACACGTCGAAGTTGTCGTGAATTACATTGAAATGGCTGTTGTTGGGAAAATTCAAGGTCAGGAGAAAATTTATTGGAATTCAAATAAAGTTTCGATTCCGCGAGTAATCTCAGCAAGTTCAATGATATTTTCAAAGCTTTTTTCAAATCAGGATCACTATCATATTTTCGAATTTCTCTATTCTTTATCGAATACCAATTGCATAGAATTTTTAAAATTTCACCCAATGAATTTTGTTTATTCAAACATTTCTCTAATAACACTAATAATTCCTGTTGATTATTAGTTAATTCAAATGATTTTTCCATTTCATTTTCCTCTAATGTTACAATATCGTCAAATGATATATTTTTTTGATCAGAAATTAAATCAATACTTGTTTTTGCTCTGATAAAACGTGATTTTTTTTCTTCATCAGCTATTGAAGAAATATCAATTTGTCCAACTGTTGTTTTTGTACGTGATAATTTTTTTCGTTTTACTTTTGAATTACTTGAAATATTTATTGAGGATTCAATTTTTGATTTTGGACTTTGAATTTTAACAGTTTTTATTTTTTCATTTTGTTTTCGTGAATCTTTAGGTGTTGAAACATCACTAGAGGGATTGTCGTCATCATCGTCATCTTCGAGTTCACTGTCATCTAGTGATTTTGAAACAATTGCTGTAATACGCGATTGCATGGATATTGCTTTTCTTGAACGTAGTGCTTTTAATGATTCTAAACTTGGTTTCCAAACCAGTGGCGCATGACATGGCGCGAGATATTTTGAGATATCTAATGCTTCATTTGATACATCGGCTCGAGCATCTTCCGATTCGGAACTTTGACCACTTGGTGATGATGGTTTCGAGATATCTGATATCGATTGAGCGGAAGCTGATTTTACACTAACTTTTTTATCAATACTTTTTGGTGATAAACTATGATCTTTTGATAAAATACTTTCTTGTGATATTTCCGATTTATCTTCTTCGATTGGATCATCGATTTTTGATTCTCGATCTTGAATTAAGGTATCAAAATCTCGTATTTCTAATTCAGGAACTGTTACTGAACTCTCATCATCTTCAATTTCAGATGATTTTGAAATTAATTGACTAAATTTTGAAAATTTTTCAAAAGATTTATAAAGACAAGGAAGACATCTATCTGAATTTTTTCTTGGATAAATTTTTATCAATGGAATTCTCGTTAAGGATTTTTCTTCAAATTGTTTGTTTTGAAATTTTGTACTCGAACCAGAATTACTACGTGTGGTGGAGATAATTGTTTTTATCTCAATATTTTGTTTTGTTGGAAAAAAATTTACATCCAAATATTTTGGAGCAATTGTTTTTAATTTTTCGCGTATATTTTTGTAGTCAATAAATTCGGTTTTTTGTTTTCGACTTTTTTTCACTGATTCAATTGATTCGCTTGTTGACAAATTTTCTGTTTTTAAAATTTCTATGCTAGATTCTAAGATGGGGAAATTATCTTTAGGTTTTGTTAAATGTTTAAGAGCACGATATGCATATCTTGTGGATTGATTTTTTATTTTTGAACTACTTTTTTTATCGATTGCTAATTTTTGTGTTTGACAATTTTTTGAATCATTAATTTTTTCATTTTCTTTTTGATTAATATCCAATGATTCGTCCTGTCATGTTTTAATTTGAAAATCGTTATTTTTAATTTGACTATCATTTTTAATATCATTCAATTTGGGTTTATTGAAACTAAAAGAATATTCGGAAACAATTTCTGGAATTGAATTATTTTCAGCTTCAATAATATCATCATTGGAAATACTATCCATGGGGATTAACTTACGAAAGCTTGGATGTAAACTTGCATATCCTAATTTAGGAACTCTTAAATAATCTTTTGCAATATTTTTTGGGGATTTAAGTTTTTCTTCTGATTTTTCATTTTTTGAAATAGTTTCTTTTCTATTTAAATCAGGATTAATATCAGATTTAGAATAATCTTCATCTGATGATTCGTGTGTTTCAATGGAACTTGGAATTGATACTGTTTTAGCAAAACTTGCCAATAGACTGGCTTTTCCTAATTTTGGTGCTTTTACAGGTTTTTGAATATCAGATAAGGGAAAATCATCATTTTTTATTATTAATTTATCCAAATTTTCAATTTCCAATGAAATTTCACTTTTTTCAATTAGTTTAACATTTTTTTGTATTTTACATGAATGTAATGAACATAATGATTTTTTTAATTCAGGAAATGAAGATTGACTTTTTTTCGATGGTAAATATTTTTTGAGATCATCGTCAAATATTTGTGGAGATGGTTCATTTTTATGAAAAGGACACGATTCTTTAGTGAAAAATTGTAAATTAGTTAAATAATTTTTATCATCACTGGAATTCTCTCTACGAAGGACTTTTTTTTCTTTTAACAATTGTAATTTTAATAAGACATTATCATCAAGTTGATTATCATTTTGATTTATTGTTTGATTCTTATCGTTAAAAATATCAGTGAATGATGATTTTCTCGATGGTGTTGGTGGTGAGATTTTAACAATTGGTTCATCGTGAACTTGACTGAGATTATTTAATTCTACAGAATCGTGAGAATCAAAATTTAAATTATTATTCGAAGGAGAAATAAATGGAAAATGGGAAAAAGGATCTCTTACTTTTCGTACTTTTCTTTCTAAATCATTGCACACTTCATTCCAATAAGATTCTGATTTTGCGTTTGGTAATTCCCATCTAGAGGAAAAAAAAAAACAAAAAATTTTTTTTTGGAGTTAAAAATAAATTAATATTGATTTCCATTTTACAGAAACATTAATTTTGTTTGATAGTTGCAATTATAATTATAAAAAAATGAACGAAAGGTGTAACAAAAAGGTTAATTAACCTACCTTGACTTTTTAATAAAACGCATCTTTGTTCTATCGTAATGAAAATTTAATGCATGTTTTTTTCGTAGTTCACACATTTTTTACGTTGAAAATTAGATTAGATTATTTTATGGAGAGAATTTAATTTAAATTTAATTTACTTAAAAAATATTTTTTAGAAAAATTAGAGCACAAAAAATTTATAAATTATCACTGTCATTTTAAGAGCTATTTTCAGATTGAATATCGATCAAACTTTTTCAAATTTTTCTACTTATCTTTTGAGTAATAATGAAGAATGCAACATTTTTCGACAAGATGGTGCTATTTAAAGGAGATAATTTAAAAAAAAAATTTTAAATACAAATTTTTATTAGAAATTATTAGTGAAATGGGATAAAAAAATTTTTTTAATAAAATCATAGAGACTAGAAATAGAATACTTTGAATAAGTAATAAGTACACAATTATTGATAGATTGAGAATAGTTGAATGATAATTAAAATTAACCAACTGAAGGTTGAAGGTAACTATAATTGTAGGTAACAAAATAGTTATCATCAAAAGTTAAAAGGTCAATAATCAATAAAAGATTTTATTCTTACCGACCGACGTTCCTTTTCAATTCTTCTTTCATCAGAAAACTGTTTTATCCCGTTAGGATAAGCAAACAATGTCTAGGCAAATCGATTTTTTAACATATTATTTTTAAATATTAGTTTAAAAGAAAAATAATTTTATAAAATTTAGACATTTTGAATCTGTTGGGGTTAAATAAATTTTTTTTAAAATTTCTAATTTTTTAAATATTCGCTTCTTTGACAAAATATGTTCTAAAAGGAAATTTAAAATTCTTTGAACTTTTTTATAGAACTTTTTTTTCATTGAAAATTTTGTATTTTGGAAGAATATATTTTTTTTAATTTTTTGGAAGTTTTAGCAAGGAATATTTTTATGCCACTTTTTTACACGGCAATAATTAATTGGGTAATTAAATAACTATTTAAAAGTAGTAATTTAATAACTATTTAAAATTTTTTAATTTAATATCTATTTAAATATAATATTAATAAATTTTAATGAATAATTTTCGAAAAAAAAAAATAGAGGAAATTTTTCCGCAAACTTCAGTCTCGTTTAGTACGATATCAGTAGCTGCTTTATTATGTTTATCGAAGTGTTTTCTTTTTTTTTTTTTTTTTTTTGCTCTGAATAGTCGTGTCTTTTTCGGTTTGGCCCCTAGGCAACAAGCGTCGAACGCAAATAAATCTCGTTCAGCGATAAATCTCTTCAGCAAGATACGTGGTCCGTTTCGGTAATGCAGTTTTCAGCATGGACATTGGATTTCTGGGGGTTTGAGGAAAGTTAACTTTCCAAATGAAAAACTTTTCGAAACACTTCGGGCAACGATGTAACTGATGGACGTCTGGCGTGTGGTTCACCACATTCGCAGAAATTGAAAACGTATCTTTACATACATATATATAGCATAAAGATGTATGCACTGTAATGAATTCACAATGATGATAATTTTATTATTATCGTTTGACGACGACTTTTGAACGTCGACAGGCGTCAATGTCGACGCCATCTTACTTCCGGTGCCTCGCAGCTGTCGCTTTTTCCGGTTTATAAGGGAAGAGCGAAAAGGGGGGGGAGGGAGATTCTCGCAATTCTCCAGTTGCTACAAAGACCCTAGAACAATGAGATGAAAATAAGAGGATGCTGGATTTAAAGTATTATCTAAAGAATTTCGGGTTTCAACAAAATTTCTGCGTCAAAAAAAATTTTTTTTTTTTAATAAAAACTTTTTGAAAAATTATAAACAAATAATAAAGGTTAATTAAATTTTTTTTTCGGATTATATTTGTAGTAATTGACAAATTTGTCAATAGCGATAATTACAAAGAGCGATTAAAGGGGGGTTAACCATCTTCCCTGACGAAATGGTCTGTTGCTTCGAGAACGAGGTATGCGAGATTACTGTGGACCTCTCTCCTCTTAAAGCGAGTGGAAGGACTTTAATTTAACTGCCTCAGACATATTAAGGATACTAACTCAGGACCGTGTGCGCGTTGAGTGTTAACCGGGTGAGCTTACCTAAACCTGTCTCCTAGCCGTCTTATGAAATTCTACATCAACCCCCCTCTCACTCTCCGACAAGATATCTAGCTCTGACATTTTCAGTAAAATGAAGAAAACGACGAAAAAAAAACAGAATAAAGAAAATGAGGTCTAGTCTCTCTCGGATCCATTTTTTACGTTAGCTATTTTACTTCTGACAATTTTTATCCCGGAGAGGAAAAAAAAATATATATATATAAAAAGTTCTTGGTGAGAATTTCTCTCGTTTCTTATAATCTATCAGTAAAATACACGAAAAGAGAATAATACTTTTTTATTATTAAATATTGAATATTTATTGCAAAAACATTTTTAATTGAATAAAAATTTCTTCTTCTGTTATAAAATATGTATTTTTAAAATTTATTTTTGTAATAATTTAATTTTACAATTTCTTTGGTAATTTTTTTTTGTATTAATAGCGATTCTATATATTGTTTTATTTGTTAAAAAAAAAGTGGATCATTCTTTTTTTTCGCATGACCTACTATTTTATGTAGTAGTGGAAATATTTGTTTTTAATTTACAATTGCAAACAATTCATAAAATAAACGTGAAAAGAAAATATTTGCTTTATAAAGTGTAAATATAAAAAGAAATAAAAACAAAAGTATTTATTGTAATTTTCGTTAAATTAAAGTTTTCGTTGATAATGTAAGGTCTATTTTCAAGGTCATTCAGGTCAATTTTACATTTATTATTATATAACAGCTGTTCATTTATTATTATTAATCTTTCCTTCTGTTAATTCCAGGTCAATAGAAGGATGGCTCGTGAGGCGGCAGAGAAGGGATAGGACCAAATTACCGTAGAAGTAAGGTGGGAAGGAAGGGGTAGTTTTAATTTTGATAGCGAGGTGACAGGTCGACCAGGAGCTCCTCAAGTGATTCGCAGAAAGAAGAAGTCTGACAGGAGATTGGGGTTCGCATCAGTGTCGACAATGTAAGTACAATACAATAAATAATAAATAAATAATATAATAAACAAGTTGTAAATTCAGATGTTCATTACATGAACATTTTGCTTCCTCTTTACGATCAGCAAAAAAATTTGCTTCCTCGTAGAGAAAGCAAAATTTTATTGACAAAATGTGAATTTTTGATTTTTTAACTTTCATTAATTCTTTAAATTTACCTCAAATGAATACTTTATATATATATATATATATATATCGATCGATTCGTCTTGACGTAAAAATACGATTTTATTATATATAACCTTAAATTTTTCTATTTAAAAATTTTTTCGAATAAAAAAAAATTTTTGGAAAAAAGACCATAAAATTTTTTTTTTGGAGTATTTTTCAAAATCCTTTGGTCAGATTTGAGATATTAATATGATAAATGAGCCTACTAAATTTTATCTAAATCCATTAAAACCTGTTAAAGTTATCTTATAAACAAAAAAGGGATCCACACACACACACATACATACATCCGGACAATTGATCAGGATCTCATATAACATGTTTCTATAAAGAAAAAAATTTGTTTCCACCACTTTGAAAAGCTTTATAAACGAAAGGACTACAAAGCTTCCTTCACGAGGAATAATATATATAATAATATATAATAATATAATAATAATAATTATTGATGAAGAAATTTTTATTTCAAGGTCTTTTGACGGTTGAAGTTGTTTTTATTTCAATAAACAAAGTATTATTTATTGAAATAAAAAAAACTTCAACCGTCAAATGACCTTGAATCATAAAAAAGTGGCCAAAAAAATTCAATTTTTCTTAGGCAGACGATTTTATTGCATATTCTTGTACAAAATACACCGAAAAGTGTATAAAAAAATTGACACCCAGATCCGAGTAGAGGAAGACCTTTTTTATGACCAAAAACCGTCCAAAATCATAAAAAAGTTGCCCAAAAAATTCAATTTTTCTTAGGCAGACGATTTTATTGCATATTCTTGTACAAAATACACCGAAAAGTGTAGAAAAAAATTGACACCCAGATCCGAGTAGAGGAAGACCTTTTTTATGACCAAAAACCGTCCAAAATCATAAAAAAGTTGCCCAAAAAATTCAATTTTTCTTAGGCAGACGATTTTATTGCATATTCTTGTACAAAATACACCGAAAAGTGTAGAAAAAAATTGACACCCAGATCCGAGTAGAGGAAGACCTTTTTTATGACCAAAAACCATCCAAAATCATAAAAAAGTTGCCAAAAAAATTCAATTTTTCTTAGGCAGACGATTTTATTGCATATTCTCGCACAAAATACACCTAAAAGTGTAGAAAAAAATTGACACCCAGATCCGAGTAGAGGAAGACACTTTTTATGACCAAAAACCATCCAAAATCATAAAAAAGTGGCCAAAAAAATTCAATTTTTCTTAGGCAGACTATTTTATTGCATATTCTCGCACAAAATATAGCTAAAAGTGTAGAAAAAAATTGACAGCCAAATCCAAGTAGAGGAAGACAAATATTACCACCAAAAACCATCCAAAATCATAAAAAAGTTGCCAAAAAAATTCAATTTTTCTTAGGCAGACGATTTTATTGCATATTCTTGTACAAAATACACCGAAAAGTGTATAAAAAAATTGACACCCAGATCCGAGTAGAGGAAGACCTTTTTTATGACCAAAAACCGTCCAAAATCATAAAAAAGTTGCCCAAAAAATTCAATTTTTCTTAGGCAGACGATTTTATTGCATATTCTTGTACAAAATACACCGAAAAGTGTAGAAAAAAATTGACACCCAGATCCGAGTAGAGGAAGACCTTTTTTATGACCAAAAACCGTCCAAAATCATAAAAAAGTTGCCCAAAAAATTCAATTTTTCTTAGGCAGACGATTTTATTGCATATTCTTGTACAAAATACACCGAAAAGTGTAGAAAAAAATTGACACCCAGATCCGAGTAGAGGAAGACCTTTTTTATGACCAAAAACCATCCAGAATCATAAAAAAGTTGCCAAAAAAATTCAATTTTTCTTAGGCAGACGATTTTATTGCATATTCTCGCACAAAATACACCTAAAAGTGTAGAAAAAAATTGACACCCAGATCCGAGTAGAGGAAGACACTTTTTATGACCAAAAACCATCCA